TACGTTTTCGCACGTTCGCCTTCGTTTCCATAATCGAGGGTCATTCGCAGCCGATGCTCGTCTATTTTAAGGTCTCCTCTATTTCGACCATGGTATCTGGAGCTTGGTACAGCGACAGTGGACAGATTGTCGTTTACGTGTGTACCGAGTGCACTAATAATAGAGAGGAGCGTACGTGATCTTTGTACAAGTGGAACGCATTGTTGAATTAACAGCGCGAGAGGCGTGCTGGATGTGTCTCGATGATTGTATAAATTCATGGCTCTGGTATCGTAATGTCCATTTGTCAGTTTACATGGAGAAGATACATAGCGACTACGCTGTAAAATTGAGTAACGCGTTATGTCATAGAAGATATTGTCCTCTTAATCGGACGTATTGACGTAAAAATTATTTTTAAATGACCAACCGAACTTTTGATGAATAATCGAAAATTTCTTCTTTTTTTTTTTAGTGAAATTAATGCCGTTCGCGTGACGCGTATCTTTATTTGACTTACACCCGTGCTGCAGTATGTTAACGCGTCGGACATTTCTAAACGCAAGACGACCTTGCCGGCATAATTTATTAGGAGAGAATAATAGCCAAATATGGCGCGCGCAAGGAAACCCAAGTGAAAGCGAACTGTGAAATCGTTGCGTTTAAACGTAATAGCGCGAATCCTGTAAATCAATTGGGAATTTCGGACAGCAGTCGCCTCCCGTATTCCCAATCCCCGCGGGTGTCGTTTCGGGAACATTTGCGGGTTCGAATTGTGCAACCCGCTAGTACCAGAATAGAAATTCCACGGTCACAGCCGGCCACGCGTTCAGTGCGATTTACGAGGGTCGTAACCGTCCTACGGTTCGCCATGTGTTGTTTCAGGGTGTATGATACAACCGCGAATAAGCCGTAAGCATTGTTTTGAGGATATTCAAAATACAACGCGGCGCGTGTTGCTTACTTTTCTTGTTGATCTTTCTGAGGCGTCGTTATGCGTACGTAGAATTTTTTTTGGAAAAACCAATTCGTTCACGAGTCCGAAAATGGTCGCCATTTACTAATCACGGCGTTTGGCGTTGTTATCGTCTGTCCGACTTGTCGCCGTTAATCAATGCGTAGCAGGAAGCACGTGCCCCTGGACGCCAAGAAGTCATTTTATGGATGACCACCTTGTATACGACGGGTTAAGTAAAAGAAGTAGAACCAGAGGAACCCGCACTTCTAGACCTTGTCGAAAAGCGTGGAAGTCGCCGTGCCCGCTGCGCACGTGGGCGACGTCGCCTTATAAGGACGCGCATAGAGGCACCTCTCCGATGGTACCTTGCTTCACTTTTATCATCGCCTTACTGTCTTCCTTTTCGCAGTTCAAATCGTTCCTCTACTGTTCGACGTCCTTTCCGTCTGGATGCTTAACTCGAGGAGCAAAATATTCGTCGAAACGTCCTCGCGACGATCCATCTTTCCCTCTCAACTTGGATTCTTGCATTTTAATAAGGTACAGTCATTCGGTCGCTCTTCGAACATGGCCGATCTCGAGTGAAAGACATTGTCTTGCGATCCACTCGATAGATCGAGCCTCCTTCTGGCGTCCCGGTTAACCTAGAGAACGCCGTCCTATTGGCCTTAAGCCAGCAGCAGTTTTTTAATCTAATAACTCCGTGGCATCGTTTCTTTTATGTATACATATATGTATATTAAGACTCTTACGGATATATGGAAGATACATAGAGCCTGCATTGACACGTATGCACGTGACGTTGCGCATACGTCAAATATATGGTACGTCTTTAGTCAGTTGTATTTCCGGGTATCTGTGTAGCTGCTGGACAGAACTCTAAAAGCTGGGGGTATACAAAAAGAATATTAACAGCTTAAAAAGTTCTTTCATGGCTGGCTCGGTCGTAACGGAGACGTTGAAGGATTTAAAAGCTACATTTATGGCAAATAACTGCAGCTTCTTGTATAACTTTTCTACTTCTCGATTGATATCTTGAGGATGCACCGACCCTGTTTTAATATTATCTTGTAATTTTCTATATTTCACTTATGTGGAATCTGTATGTAATCTGCTTGCCGTGGGGTGGAGCTTTTTTATTTGGGAAGTCAATGTTTTGTCAATGAGAGATGTGTTTGCAAACTTATGCTGATTAGATATTGATTTTTTCTATAATTATTGTTCCCTCGTACGGGGTATACCGTGTGGTCTGTACTTTGCTAATAGGATGTTCTGTGTATGTTGCTACTGGTCAGTTACCACGCTTAGCTGTATCCTGGGAACCTTATGGCGTGTATAGTGTGAGTCAGAGTTACCATGAAAACGACTACCCTCCTTGCAAAGTGGTATGCATTTCAGTAAGGTTCATCAATTCGAGGTGTGACTCCCTATCGAATGACTGCAGCTTATTCCGTGCACGTGCATCCAGTGTGCATCAGACACGTTCGAGCGTGTCTGTTGACTGTCGAGAAATTTCATCCGGCGTTACTCGAGACCGATGTAGAATATTGTCCGTTTGAATTTGTCGGTAATGCATCGAGTTGCGTAGAAAGTGGCGACACCGGTGGACGGCCCGGGAACTATCAACCGTTTCTTCCTCTCTGTTTACTGTGTATAGTAATACTGTACTATAGTAGGCGTTGGACAGTTCTCAAAGGCCAACGGTAATTCAAGTTCAGTTAGAGACAGCAGACTTTTACTTGATCTACCGAAACCAATTCGAAATTGACTAATTACGACGATTAATTGTTCGTTTCGTTCACGTCGTTTATTTTCCTTGACATTCGTGGCGATGAACGCATCCTTGTACTCAGCCTGATCTCTTCGCTTTTAATTGTTGTAAATTGAAGGATTGTCGGTGGATGAATTTTTTTTTTCTATTTCCCACCAAGGATTGGTCGATGCTGATGAGCATGAATAAATGTCAAGGCGTTTCGGAATCTGTGTTTCCCAAATAAGGTCTGATTTCGTGTATACCTTACACGGATCGTGTCAAGGATGTTCGAAGTCCATTTTGCATTTAGGTCCGTTGTACGATTAAGAATAAAGGCATTATAATCGTGATCGTCGAATAATATCGACGAATAAACAAACGTTCGATCTAACTTTTCATAGAAAATATCAGAAATTACAAATTTATTAAAATTAAAACTTTTTTATATTACTTTTTTTTATCGTTATTGAACAATGGTCCATTTTATCTGGTCCGCTAGTCTTGTCACTGGGTGTGTTACTTCTGTTCGACCATAGCACATAACCACTGTTGTCTTCGTACTCAGTTATCGTCCGACACTGTCGGTAACAGGATGTGGCTGCTTAAATTTAATGTTCAATAGACTGTGACCGGGTCCCCAAACCTTTATTACGCCACTTAATCAGGGTATCAAAAGAAATGCATTTTAATAGAAATGGAAATGCACTTTAGTTCGTTCTCTCCTGCGTACAGAGGTACTTCATATGCATACTGGGTGTCAAAAAAAATTAGTATTTTTTTTTTTTCGTCATTCCATTGACTTTTACCTCCAGCAGCAACGATTCGATGAAACGTCCTGATAAAGATAATAACGTTATTTATAATTACGTAAAAAAAATTTCTCTGCACTTTATCAATTAATTAAATTAATGCAGTACCAGGTGTCGAGATTTAAGCAATTGTTGGTTTTACGTATTTTGATGCTACGTATGACGAGGCGTACGCAGTTCAATCGGGGAACGAATAAATGACGACTTTGTTCGACGATACCAGCCAGGTCGACTTCCGAGTGCGTTGTAAATAAATATGGGCTGTTCCTTCGCAGTCACGCCTCATGGGTTCCGCATCGCCTATCGCGAACGTTAGACGGGCGTAGAAGCTCATTTCCCATAGCAAATACTTGAATTCTCTCATGGCTTCTTCGTTCCACGACCAAAACGCGTCCTCGTATTTCAGTCTGTGCCAGCATTATATGTACACATAACCTATCGATCAAACTCTCTCCCGCATCTATCAGGTTATTCAGATTCCTCTTTTATAAAAAATCATCCGAACATCCCATAAAGTTATTCATGACTCATGACGTCCATTGAAAAGTTCTTTCGGAGCCTCAAGGTTCTTGTGCCCGGTTAACCAATCGACCGTTCTTGTGACTTTTTTTTTTTAAATTTCGCGAAATCCATTTTCCATTGGAATTAATCGATATCACGCGGACGACAGGATAATCGATTCTTCAAGGTAAAACGTTAAACCGTCGTACGTTGAGAATTTGCCTCTTTACGCTGAAACCATCCGTTGAACCTTAACCGTCAGACTTCGTGATTCGGTGTGGACGCAAGCTTTATTTTTAGAATTCGGTAAGACTAGATAAATATTCACTGTACAGCCTGCTCCCATTCAATTATATCCTCGCAAGAATTTCAATTCTGATACGTTTTTCCTTATTGCGTAACGCGCGAGTTTTCTTTTTACCATCTTTTTTTTTTCAACACTTGTGCAGCAATTAGTCGAGTGACGTTAATTTTTTTTTTTTTTCATTATCGACCAACACTCAATTAACGACTTCTTAGTTGGTGAACTAGAGAAATTCTCAGTCTCTGATGTTATCCCGTGACGCGCGAACGTGTTTGGTACTCGCGATAAATAGCATATGAAAATTTTTTAAGCACACTGTGTGTGGCTATAGTATCGATATTGCGTATCGTTAAACGCACGTGATTGTCGGTCCGTATCGATTCGTGGAACATGTTGATATAAATATACAGACATCCTAGACAACGCTGAGACTCGATCGTTGAAAACGTAGCTGGCTATGACCTTTGAAAACTGGATCGTTTTCACTGGTATAGAGGATTTAGGTTTATAAAAAAAAAAAAAAAAAAAAAAAAAGATATAACGATTCGCCTTTACTTTGGAATAATTATAATCATAATGTCAATCCTTGATTGTATTGCAGAGCGAAAGGCTCTTCGTTGATGCTCGAGCGAGTACGGACAGCCGTGAAATTATTCGCTGGGCAATAGATGCGTTTATGAATCAGTGACCGGAGGATGCTGTCAGTTGATCGCGCACCGCGCTGCTAATACGAAGTGAGCGGCTACGGGGAACAGGATAAAGTTATATTCAATGTTAAACAGTTTTGAGATTAATCGCGGATTAATTTATTCATGAGATGGAAAAATTATGGTTTCGGATTTACTTGGCCGATGGTATATTTTTTGGGGATGAAAAATATTTTTTTATATTTTAAGGATACACGAGTCAAAATCGATATAGCTACCGGTTTGCAGTTAATATTTTTATTTGGGAATTCTTTTTAAGAATACCAAACCGCACCGAGTAAGATTGTTTGGGAGATTCGTATGGTTAATCCTGAAGGAAGAGGAAGAAACGGGAGAGTTTCTATTTGTACGACACGGCGGGACTTCACGGCAGTGTGTAATTGTTCGCCGACGTGAAAGGAGAAAAACGGGAAAGGGACGATGGGACTTGCAAAAATACTGCGGCAATTACGTCGGACGGAGCCTTAGTGTCGACGTGTGTGAAGTTAGCCGTGATCGAGAGTTCAGTCTCATCCGTCGCGTCATATTTGGATAGGCATTTGCCTGCTTGATTCCTTTAGGAAAATGTCGAACGGATCTCACGTTCATGGCTGTCAGTTATCAGGGCTGTAGACTCGATGGGACAGACTCACTATGGATGACCTATCTCCATTACGTCGATCAACGTGACGTTGGAGGATACGATCTGGATAAGGTTAACCGTGTGGAGATGTTCCTGTCATAAGTGTTGAAAAAATTTGTCAACATGGGTTGGCTCACTCAGTGTGTCTGTGGCTCGAGGCGTAAGGGTTCTGATACTGATCTTGGTGGGGTCGAGACGGAAGTTGGCAAGTCCAAAAAATTTGGAAAAAAAAGGACTGATAAGAATGTTAGGAAAAAAGGTTCTGCTGGGAGTAAGAAGGGTCTGCCTGGTGAAGAGACGTGTAAGGTGGATGTCAGTGCGGAAGATGATAAAGAGGTAGCGAAGATCAAGGAATCGGATGACTCCAGTGGGAAGCCTGTGCATGATAATGGAAACTGTCACGATAAGGCGACAGAGAACGTTTCTGAGAATTACAACGTGGATGCTGTGGGTGACGAGGCAAGATCGTTGACGGCGGATCAATCTCGGGATTTGGAACCCAAGGTGTCTAGGGAAATGCATGGATCTTTGATTTTGGGAAAATCTTACGATGTTTTGCCACAGTTGCAAGTGAAAGAGGAGACGAAAAATTTGAAAATAAATGAAAATTTGTCTGATAGTGGGGGTAATTGTGGGAACGATTGTTCGAGTCGAAAGAATGATCTAAGGAAAAATAAATCTGGACTGAAACAGCCTGTAGTGGGGAAAACACCGATTTTCGTGAAAAAGGATTTTCGCGAGAACGTAAATTCTTGCAGTTTTGAAATTCCGATTTTCGATGATTCCAAAAAAGTAGAAAATAAAAAGTATCGAAACGAGACTTCCTTGATACCGAGGGGTCCAACGTTCTCTCGAGGGATCAAGGATGCTGCGGAGGAGCCCAAAGATGTACAGGATGACGAAGACGGTATAACTATACTGGATAACGGGAGTCGTCTGTCCGTCTCCTTTAAATTTAGACGAAGTTTTCCTTTAGAATTTTCTTTTCCCTTTTTCTCACGTTCAATTCTAGGGGATTTTCGAAGTAAAAAAAAATAATTCCCTGTTTACATTAGACCCTACAGCTGTTTTTTCTTCTCTCTGGTACACACTTATATTAAAACGTCACCCTCACGTCCGCAACCACTCCCTTCGCAATCGCTTCAAGCCGCTCAAAGGTGTTTGCAATTGGCGATCTGCGAAACTTTGCTGGCTTCCCCTTTATTCCCGTCGCGCAACGCGTTGGGAAAATACCAGTAAAATTGCTGCGCCTCGTTACTCCGAAAATAGATTCTTCTTTCGCGAAAACGCGAACAAAGCCCACGAGACTTGCACGTGGAACTTTCTTAAGAAGCGATTTCACTACGTAGAAATAAATTTTACCAAAGTTTCTTACTTTATGTTATAATAATGATGGAGGATTTTATAATTTGACAAGGATTGACAATTTTTTTGTCTTGGAAATTTGTCGCCTATAAATTTTGTTTATTTTTCAATTTCAGGCCGGGTTCACTTGGCCATCATTTCTGGTGTCAATTGGGAACAGCGGAGCATAACTGTAGAATGGTTCGAAAGAGGAGAGACCAAAGGGAAGGAGGTGAGTAAAAAAAATGTTTTTTGATTTTAACACAAACTACGTTTTTCTACCTAAAAACTCTACAGTACTTTAGGTTCATCAACGTTAGTTTATCGATCGTGAATTAGAATGTAATTTCGTCTAATCTCGCGTGCATCGTTCACACTCATGGGTTCAGGTCACAAAACGTAGAAAGCCTTAACGGTGGGCCAACAATATTTTTGTCCAATAGTTAACGTGCTGTTGTTACTACCGCTTCGCTTTCTGATTCTTATTTATTTTTCGGATCAATCGTTTAATGCTATTAAAAATTCATCATTGACTAGAAGGGTAAGAAGATTTTACATTGACATTTTACTTTGGGGGAAATTCTTGTTTCCGTATTCTGGAAAATTTCGGTGCTGGCTTTTTTTTTTCTTATAAATTAACGACCGACCTATCCTCCTGGCACTGATGCTACTTGTTCTTTCTCTTGGATCGCGAATGCTCACCAGTAGTATTCAATAAAAAAATATTAAAATGCCCTAGGTCATGGTTATTCGGCTATTTTCAATTTCGTGCTTATGCAATGCCAAAAAGGCAACCTGTGCCGCGCTATTGGGAACACCAGTCTATTTCCGGCGGGGCTTCAAGTTCTTTCGACGTAGCTCAAACTGGCCTGGAGCATTCGAATTTTGCATGCGAACAGTGAAAGTACAAGTGTCACTTGTGGCAATTTGCAAAATTTATTGTCATTCTCGAGCACTAAAAAAAAAAATGTATTTGTCAGCGAACTCTGACTACTGAGAGGTTTCTGTGGGAAAAAAATTAATTTGAGGTAAATTACTAAAATAATAAAGCGGCTGTGATAAAGTGATAATTTAAAAATAAATAACTTTGTGCGAGTTGATTAATTTTTTATTTTATCAGTCACGTTACCTCAATGGCACCACAGAGCTTTATACCACGGCGAAAGGTAGTCTTGTCAAAATCTGAAATCGAAATTTGCTTTTTTCTTCTTGAATTCATTAAATTATTACGATACTCGGATTCATGAAAATCATTTTTTTTTTTCAGGTGGAAATCGATGCAATTCTAGCCTTGAATCCGGAATTAGTCCCAAAAACAATGGGACCACCACCGCCGCCGACAATGAACAACCATATGTTAGCTACCAAAGCCAGGGTAAGTCAGAACCTGTACATCACCTATGAAGAAATGACTGTTTTAAATTTATCATTTATTTACGACTACATGATTTTGATATCTAGCAGACGAAATTTTTGCAATCTTTTGTTTACGTCGAAATTATGCCTCAGTCTGTTTTTTTTTTCTTTTTCTTTTTGGTTCACGTTGTCGACTTTTTCGCGCTTTCAAGGCAATTAACAACACGTGTTGCATCTGCCGCAAAAGGGCTGCTCGTAAATGAGAATTCACCGCGTATACAGTTCCAACCCGCATTGGACTTTCGATACGAGATAAACGAAATAATAGTGAATATCAAGTCCGTCAGAGCGTGCCACGTAGCTGCGTATAGTTTATTATCGACTGGGAATTGAATTTTGTTGACGCGTTGCCAGGGTTACGCGCTAACCTCTTTCTTGTCCATCAGTAAAAGAATGTGCATCTGTTCCTTGGGCTAAATTTTCTAAAATGTTCCAGTATTTGTTCGTCTATCAGGTACATACATAAGTATATTAACGTACGATTGGACACGCCACCCATATAAAATCAAGACTCGAAATCCGTTGGATGGTCCCTCATGGATTTACCCACTTTGTTAGATCTTCACAAAATCAACTTCATTCACATATTGGTATCACTTATTACTGCATTTGTTTCTCATATAAACATCACTTTAATTTTTAATAATTACCCGCAGTCCTGGATTAAATAACGATTAATAATACTTTCTTTCATATATCCATCAGGCACATAATTTATAATTTAAAATATACTTTTCAGTCTCGACCATCGTTATTCCTGATTCTGTCAATGACACTTCGTATATTTGTGCTTAATTTATATCTTTTTTACAGTAACAATTTTTTTCTCGCGTGTCGTTGCCATACCAATCGAATAAAACGAAGGACGCGCGCATGTAATTTCACTATGAAAGAAATGAGTAACGGCAGGACTAAAGAAAGTGCGTGATAGAGCATCGTAAAAGTGTCACGTACAGCATCGATGATCAATTCGCGTTATGTGCTCGTGATAATTATCAATCTTATCTGACTCATTGTAGTCATTTTCTGTCTTAATCCTTCCGTATTGTTTTTTAAGAAGACTGTACTTGCTTCCATGATACTTGGAAACTCTTCTCTCTCGGTAACATAAGAATACGTTCGTACGTGTCTCTCTTTCTCATTTGCCAACTAATAAAGGACTTGTCCCAGTGTCAATAGGTGCCAAGACGCCATTGAATATTCGATTGCCAAAGAAAGTCATTAATCATTTCCCGTTCATGCGCGGGACACGTTAGAATCAGCGTGATTGGTCATATATATCGCAAGGGTTGGCCCGATAATCATTACATTCCATAAAAAGGCTGTCAAGTATCGGTGCTTATTTAATTGATAACAAAGAAAATTCGCGTCGAGAAAAACGTAAAACTTGTTGAGAAAAGAAAATTGACAAATATTGCTCACTAACATGGTAACAATTTTTCCTTCATGGACGCTGCTCTTATTAATGGCTGCTCGACGACGACGGATCTGTGAACCGCACTGCTGGAATCGACTGGCAAAACAAATCCTTAACAATTGACACATCGAATTGCCTTCCGTATTGACATCATCCACCCTGAATCCCTCTGACGCTCGTTTGATCGACTTTTTGGTAATTTTACGTTATATTTAACACACGTCGATTTCGTTCTATTATTTGGCTATATATCTTTTTTTTTTTTTTATTTTTTTTTTTTTTTTTTTTTTTTTTTTTTTTTTACTTTGTACGGACGATTATTTTATTTTTTTTTCCTTGGTTGACTTTCGCGACGACCGCGACGTGTCTTATAAATTTATTGTATGCTATCGGGATGCCGTTCGTCCGAAAATGCACAAACGAAATCGCAGGACTCTTCCGGTGAGGAGGACGAGGGCCTTGACGAGTTGGAGAACCAGGATGAGGGCTCTCTTGGGCGTCACGGCGGCCACACCGTTAGGAATGGCCTCACCTCTGCAACGCTTCCTGTACGAGTCACATCTCGTCTTTCGGTAACGCGAACCTTAAGAGCATCCATCCTCCATCCCTGTCCCAATGGTTCCGAATCACTGATCCCCTTTCACCTTCTTCTTGACATTGAAGCAGGAAGAAGGTAGTCACGCACGGCAATCGCTGCGATTTCTTCTTTTCTCTCTCTCTTTTCCATGCACTTTTACAAAAATTGTTTCGGAGCCACTGTCTTTCGATTCACTTGTCTGTTTCTGAACATTTTTTTTCTTATTTTAGCACCCTGTTATTTTTCTTCACGACCTCGTGTCCGAAGAGTTTGTCGTCCACGTGGAAGAAAATACAAAAAAAAAGATGTGTTCGCTTAAAGCCGTTCTCATAAAAAAAAACTGCAGTCACGTGTTTCCCATACGTTATTTTAGTTATTTCTTGTATTTCGTCGGGCTACCGCGTGTGAACCACCCTTGGCGTTTAGTCAGACTAGTAAAGATCAATACACGGTCTTCGTACGTGACGTTTCTTCGCAAGATTTTACATAGACAAATATTAGTCACACGAAATTGGTTTTACAGGCGCAAAAAAAAAATTGAAATTTTTGTAGCGACGACGAAAGAAAATAATCCAAAAAATAGTCGGGAACAAAATTTGACGATATCGGTTTTTCAAATCTCGCGCGTAATCCTAAGTCTCTCTTTACTCGTCTTTAAACCCAATTGCACAGACGCCATTTATGTTTATCAAGCAGCCACTCCTTCCGATCAAAGCACCAATGTATCATACGCATAAACAAGGGAGAATCACACGTCTGTCTATAAATATCTTTTGATTTTCAGCACTGAGTATTTATCTGTCATTTTGTTGGCTTCGCTTTGTCGCACGGAAAGGTTACGTTATCGATTTCACTAAAGGATAATGACTAAAGATATGTTTCTCTTTTTATCTGCAGCACTCGACCAGGCCGTCTATTCCAGTAAAAGGTAAGTGTGAATTCAGTGACCTCAATATACTTATATACATATATATATATCCTCAGCAGTCATTTTTCTTTTCCTAATCATTGAGACTAGTCGTGAAACCATGAACATTTTTCTTTGTCAATTGTCCGACTACATGGGGCTATCGTTACGCTCCGATCAGGTTTTGGTAGCTAGGGGTAGTTCCGTGTACAGGGTGTTGAACCACCACTGCCTTAAAGTATCGTCCATTTCACGCGAGTTCACCAGCTTCTATCGATATTCATACGTACTATATGTAACGTACAAGGGCAAGGACCTCGGACAGTGTGCCGTATTGTATTCCAGCGGGAGGTTGCTTTCTGCCTGCTCGTCGCGCTTCTTACGTACATTTATTTTATTTTGCCCAACTTTGCTACGCGCCGCTGGCGTTATTGATCTCTTAAGCGAAATTTGATACTTAACCTTAGCTGCAATGAAATTTGATCCTCTGATACATTGCTTTAAGAGGCGAAATAGAATTGTCGAGGAGAAACGTCAGGATATCATTCACTCCCTGATAGGACGTAACGATACTGGTAATTTTTGTTGGGTTCTTATAAATTTTTATGGTTGCGACGTGACAGTGTATTTTTTTAACAAAAATTCTTTGTCAAGCTTTAGTTGTCGTAGTCTGACGTAGAATTGATTGAAGGGGGTTGGGACTTTTATATATTACGTATTTATATATTTTAGTTACGTTTGATGATCGTTCGTGTGAAATTTTAATTTTCTTTCAGCGGGCTCGAACCGGCAAATATCACGGCAAGCAGGTCGATCGACGAATGTCATGCCATCCGTGACTTCGTCGAATGGCCATGGTGATTCTGTCTCGGGTCTTACAGGACGTCGCGAAGTGGAGAACATTCCACCAACGTTGGCAGCGCCGACGCTGACGCCTGTAACTGCCACCCCGCTGAGTAAGCAGAAGCAGCTGCAGCAGCAGCAGCAACTGCAATTGCAGCAGCAGCAGCAGCAGCAGCAGCAGATGGCTGCGACGCAGGCTCAGGTGGAGAACGGAAGAGGTAGGAGATCGAACGTCGTGAAGGAAGTGGAGCGGCTGAAGAAGAACCGCGAAGAGAGAAGACAGCGGCAGGCAGAGTTGAAGGAGGAGAAGGAGGCGCTTATGAATTTGGATCCTGGCAATCCGAATTGGGAGTTCCTTGCTATGATCAGGTAAGTCTCTTGAAGTGTTAAATCTTTATGTTAAACGACGAATTTCTAAAACACCTTGTCCTTGCAGGGAGTATCAAAACAGCATAGACTTCAGGCCGTTGTGCGAATCGGATACTGTGGATGATCATCAGATAACTGTTTGCGTGCGGAAGCGTCCTCTTAACAAGAAGGAATTGACACGTAAGGAGGTTGACGTGATAAGTATACCAAGTAAGGACCAAGTGGTCGTCCATGAGCCAAAGGCCAAGGTCGACCTAACGAAATACCTGGAGAACCAACTGTTCAGATTTGACTATGCCTTTGACGATACATGCACCAACGAGATAGTCTATAAATACACGGCCAAGCCGCTCGTTCAAACTATCTTCGAAGGCGGTATGGCCACGTGCTTTGCCTATGGACAGACCGGAAGTGGAAAGACTCATACGATGGGCGGCGACTTCAACGGTAAGACCCAGGACTGCAAGAAGGGCATTTACGCCATGGTAGCCAAGGACGTCTTCAAGTGTCACAAATCCGCCAAGTTTCGGCCGCTCAATCTCGTCATCTCCGCCAGCTTCTTTGAGATCTACTCCGGCAAGGTATTTGACCTCCTAGCGGACAAGGAGAAGCTCAGGGTCTTGGAAGATGGCAAGCAGCAGGTATGGTTATCACTTTTGCATCAGCAATTATATTTGTTATGAGGCTGTAAGTCGTGATCCATTAACCCTTTAACTTTTTCGTAACAGGTTCAAATAGTGGGTTTGACTGAGAAGGTCGTTGAAACTAGCGACGAAGTTCTCAAACTTATTCAGCACGGCAACAGTGCCAGGACCAGTGGGCAGACCAGTGCGAATTCGAATTCCTCCAGGTCGCATGCCGTATTTCAAATAATAGCACGGACACCAGGAACGCACAAAGTTCATGGTAAATTCTCCCTCATCGATCTTGCTGGTAACGAGAGAGGTGCAGATACATCGTCCGCCAATAGACAGACACGTAAGTGCATTTGGATAGCGAAGCCTATCCATTACCATACTGGCTTCTTGAACACCTCATTCAAATACCGTCCATCACTCAATCAACTTTCAACTGTGCATTGTTTATCCGCTCAGGAATGGAAGGCGCGGAGATCAACAAATCTCTCCTGGCGTTGAAGGAGTGCATCCGTGCGTTAGGTCGCAAGGGTACGCATCTGCCGTTCAGAGCCAGTAAACTCACTCAAGTGCTTAGGGATAGTTTTATTGGTGAAAAATCAAAAACCTGCATGGTAAGTTATATATGGTGATCGTTAGGCTTAAATCGCTTTTCATGTCGATTGCAATGATTGATAATAATTAAGATTAATAGAGTATCAGGAGTGGTACCTTATTATTAAGTGTTATTAATATTTTGTTAGATCGCCATGATTAGTCCGGGTATGAGCTCCTGTGAACACTCTTTAAATACTCTGCGGTACGCGGATCGAGTGAAGGAATTAGCTGCGACAGATCCGACCGAGCAGAAGAATTTGCAGACCGACGATGACGTAGGATTGAAGATCGAAGATCAATCAAACGACAGTGTTCTGTCGGACAGCGATTTGGCACAGCTGAGGTCTCTTAATGTGAGTAGATTTTCCTTTTCTCATCACAGCCAATCATTCCCAGTCTGAATCAATCTCAATATCCTTGTTCCATTCCAGAAGGTCATACCGTCTCATAAGGGTAGTACCGAGGCCAAGATGATTAACCAAAAAATATTCCCATCCTGAAATCGAAAAGTCATCGTAGATTTCTACTTTGTCGCGATTCTCATCCTTTTCCGCTTCCTCGCATACTCATAAAGTCTTCTAGTGCTGCTTCATGTTCTTTCGTCATTGTGGAACTTCATTTTTCTTTTCGAACTATATACTGCCTTCCGGATAACTGCCTGTAACGATAAGCTTAATAAATTCTTCGCGGTATTTTTCAGAATTTTACGAAGAAATATAAACAGTTACTTATTTCGCTAGTCTCTTAATAATTTTTCAAGAGTCGAGGTAAGATTACATGACTATTCTTCGTCGCTAGATAGAAAATGAGGTTCCACTGTACTTAACATTTTTCTTTACTTCCTTCACTAATCATCGTACAGTGTAACCACATTTGCATGATCGTTGACCGTTAATTAGTTCATTCTCCCATATTCATACAGTCTATGTATATTTTTAAACTTTATACCGTATAACCTGCTCTTTTAATATTTACAGGAGGGTGAACTTTCGCAAGATCTGTACACGTTTCACGAAGCGGTCTCCGCGCTACAACTGTTGGAGGAAGAGGTTTTGGACAAACACAAAGTAGTGATGGATAACACGACCAAGTTCCTCAATGACGCCCATAGCGTTTTCAGTGCGACACACGAGGTGGACTACGATCAGGAAGGTAAGACTGTCCCTTACCCCTATCATCCACGTGACTCAATTGTACATCAAGCATTAGCACTGCATTTTGATTCTCTTGTACAAGTTCATCCATAGTCAGCGCATCTCTTTATCCAAATTAGGTATTTTGTTCAACCCATTCGTTTACATCTGCAAAGTCGCTAAGGTTTGTGCGAGATTGAGTATCGATATTGATTTTATTTGTTTTGCAACCCTTAACACTTGTTAATCCCGTATTGAATTCTCTTTGGTTACTATTGCAAATCGATAAATTATTATTTTACATCAACTGATCCTTCTTCCTTAGCGATTTTTTTTTGGCCCAGCTTTTTTGTCCTCATGGCCGAATATCGAGCCCTTATCGACTACCTGGAGGCTTCCACGTTATTGATAATAATCGAATTGAATGACAAATATGGTATGTCTGTTATCACTGTGCAATCGCGTTTTATGACAGATACGCGCGCTAAGACTAAGGCAAATTCAATCTTCACGTTAAGCCGCACCCGGAGAGACAGCAGCGCGACGATAAACACTACGATTACGATAAACGACGGTACGGATAGTATTTCGGAGTGTGACGTACAGTCTGATTCAACCTTTACCTTATCCACCAATGAGATAAGGAGGAGATCCCCCTGGAGGGACGAATTCCTATCAGGCAATGATTCCAGCAGCAAGTCGACAGACGTTGACTCTGACGCTGGCGAATACAAAACTGTTATCAAGTCGAGCTTGAAGAAGAAACGTGGCTCCAATCCCAACGTTATCAGGAAGAAAACATTTCTCAGCAAGAGCTTCACTGCCAAGTCCACCCCTGCGAACAAGGTCAAGAAAGCTCAGAAGGAGCGCGGCTCCAGCACTCTCGGGAAACTCAGAAACTCCAAGTATCATTGGACCGGCACTTTCAATGACCGCGTACGAAGAAATGTATTTACCGATAGCAACAATGATCTTAGTGTCACTGAGAGCATGGACGATTATCTTGCCGACATGATCTCTCTTCCGGATGCAGAAGCATCCTTGCAAAGCGTGGATGATCTCTTCTATGGCAACGATCCGGACACGGAGGAGCATGTCTTTAATTTGAAAAGGAGGACGGCGAGGGTCATGTTGAATTCGACAAGTTATACGAAACTGAACGAGGAGGATAGCTTTCACGATGATGACGTACTTTTCAACCCTGCGAATTCGAATCCAAGACGTATGACTGACGGACCCTGCAACGTGACTGTCGCGACGACCGGATATAAGAGATTGTCAAATCTTTCGAGTACTAAGAATGACCAATTTATCGATACGACTTCGGATATCTTTAAGAGACGTAATTCTTCTTCGAAGACTATTGTAGATTTGCCACCTGTCACGGCCGACACTCGCGCGTTTACGAGGGTCGAGGACAGCGTGGAGACTTCCGGTGGACATGGAATATTTAATAATAAATCTGAAGAGGGACAGAGTGGAACAGTATTAAAACGATCGGGCTGGTTCCTGTCGTTCTGCAGATGCCTTTGGACGTTTCTGTTAAATTTTGTCAAGAATCTAATTTTACTTTTAATATTGCCGGGCATATACGTCGGTTTCTTTGTTTATATGCAAAAGCACGAAGAATCAGAATATTCAGACGGGGACGTTGATTTCGATTGAAAATTACTGTCGTCACGAAACTTGCTGTCACTTTCCCCCCGTAGTTGATAACTATTAGAATTTTACTATTATTATTATTATAGCATTTTATCTAATCTAAATACGTTTCTTCTTTTTTATTTCAGATATTTAAGAGCATATATATATATTTTTTTTTAATTGTTGTACGTCACTACAGTTAGGAATTAAAAGAGCTTTCCACGACTCTTGCCTTTATCGTGTGCCGTGTGTTTGCCATGTTCTTTTTTTCTTTTTTGTTTTTCTTCTCTCTTTCTCTTTTGTTTTATTTCGCACAAACACCCTTCGAGGGTCTTCAATGTTTTTAGCACGACTGCATGCGCGTGTGAATTTCCTTCTCAATGATAAAAGGCCACTGCAAAGTGGATCGTACTGTATCCGCGTAATAAATCTTCATGAAGAAAATAGCCAAATTTACAGAAAGCTCTGTCACACGCACAGATATTTTACGGGCATTATATAATATCGCGGAATATCTTATATACGAATATGCTCTCACTTAGCCGTTAATTCGAAGTACAAATTTTTATAATAATTTCATTCCGTTTGACTGTAATCACGTATATCAGTATTTTATTTATGAATTTAATGTAAAGAGCCAGAAACCCTTGCAGATTTGAGACGGAAAAGAACAAAGTTTGAGTCACCCTACCTGAGGCGGTTCTCGTTGCATAGGCGTCTCAAAGAGCGAAAGCAATTTTCCGACGGTACGAACAGCGAGCAAAATATAAAGCGCTTTTTAAACAATAGCTTTTACTCTTTGTATCTTAATACGCACTAAAGATGTCTCTAACTAATTGAATCGTTGATTCGGATCATCGGGAGTCATTAGTAAACACATATATAAATGTTATGCCTTAGTACGAAGGCAATCCTCAAAAATAATATTTCTTAACAATTTTGTCGATCGATTTTTCTCTCATATATATATATATATGTATCCTTGGAAAGCTGCTTTCTATCAGTTTTCGGGCACGTGTATTTATATTATTGAAGTGTGTGTATATATATATATGCATATATATATATTTTCATTAAAAAAATTTGCTTATGCAGGCAAATCTCAAGCTTCTCATCTCTATACGGGTTTCCAAAGTATCAATGCATTGTTATTATTTATCTATTGATCTAACCGCACAAATAAAATTTCGTTAGTTAAAAAAAAATGCATAAATCGCTACGAACGCGCGTACATGACTTTTCTTCTAAAGTTAGTCTCGTTTATAAAATTCAAAGCCGCCCTATATATTCGCAGCTACATACTGTATGTGTATTATTCGAAAATTGTTAATAAATTTTATTTTTGTGGATTTCCCATAAACTTAACAGTCTTGTGTACTCTTCCACGCTAATACGTACGTACGTTGATTCTAACTGGGTGTCCCTTCCTGGCACCTGTTTGTGTACTAACCAGATGAATATTTATAATATATAAAAAAATATATACGGTACACAGTTCGGCACTGCATCAAAATTTATCAGCAATTTCCAAGCTTTTTTTGGCTTACTTTTCTTCATTTCTCTTATATATATATATAGTCTGACAGTCTATCATTTAGTGAAATCACATCGTTTTCCAGCACAAAGTATACACTTTCGCGCAGACAACCAAGCATTGCTTAAAATCCAATGCTCTGTTTACCTGTAACTTTTTTAGCAGACGCATCCCAAAGTGTGCGGAGCTTTTCCGAAATTTTGTGGAACAATACTGGTAAGGATGCACAAAAAGTACCGGCAATTGCTGGTGCAGATTATCAAGTAACCAAATCCACATGTCGCGTATACGTGAATTCTCGAAATAGTCACGTAGGAATGAAAAGGCTGCCAATTGGTTCAGCGAGACTGTAAGCTTTGCTGCGAGTATTAATAAAAATAATAAATTGTATATATCTCTTTGATAGACTCTTGAAATCATTAGAAACTTGATTGAACCAGTTTCCGTGTAAAAACTGTGTACCGTTATCACGCTTTAATTGACGTTTAACGAGCACCTGCATACTGGTACCTTGTCAAACAAAGAAGATTATTCGATCGCTGATTACAGTACTGACTACCGATAAGAGTCTCAGGATGAAGCCTTTACTGTTTACCAAGGTACAAGTACTGTATAACGCAAGCGTGTACCCTTCAGTCTGTTATCTGGTAATACTAGTTTAAAAGTACATGGATGACCCCTTGACCTCATTAGAGATCTAGGAGTCGCAGCAGCATTAGACTCACGGGCTGGATGGTGGCTGTGTGTCTGCAAGATCAGCTAGTATCATCATCAGTCTTGGGTCATCGAGTGAGACTAAAAAAAGTGCATCGTAACTCAAAAATCAAAATCAATTATATAAAAAGAAAATAACGTTATCATTGGCCGTCCCGACGCCGGCCGGCTGAAGGATCAACGCTTTTACATCCAATCACGTCCCGATGGTTGACGGTATTAAATGTTATCTGTTGTAGCTTACATCCAAAAGTGGCAGCAACTTCTGGTCCAGCAACGCGACGTACTAAACGACGCCCTCGGTCAGACCGTTCAATTCCGGGATCAGCTTCTCCAGGAAGAGCAGATCAGCCAGAAGATGACGCGCACGCGAAACTCACGATACAACTAAGGATAAACTAAACGAAAACACCCTACGATCGATCTACTAATATCACTACCGAATCGCCTATTATAATTCCTCTTCTACCTCGGATTGTAATTGTAAAAGCTGTAATTTATACCGTAAGCGGGTACAGTCACACCCAACAACATCCAAAATTACATGTCACACGTGCACGCACACACTACTCGTCTAGCGTAGAGGTATGAATTTATTGACTAGATTTTAATCGTGCGTGGTACGCATTTTTGGACTAAGAATCGATTCGCCAATCACTTGACGGTCCAGTGTTTGATTTTTTTATTTAATTGATACGTATATTTGATTCTGGGTAAGTGAATCAGGGATTTAGCTACCGAAAAACAAAAATTTATTCTCGACCCAACCTGCGTATGCGATATTAGTAGCGTTCTTCTTGTTGAATAATAATAATAATAATAATAATATTTTTGCAAATTATTGATTGATATCTTTTCGTGTGACGATTGTGTTCGATAGGTGATTATGATTCAGGTAGAATTGGATGATTGTACGGTGACTTTAGGAATTCCCCATGCGAATCATCCTCGGTGATACTGTCAGTAGCTGTGAGAAATCGCTGGTAATGTCCGTATATAGTTCTTTTATTGTCTCTTATTACTATTACTTTTTGTTTTTTTTATAAAATTGATTAGACATTTTTATCAGGAACCGTATTCGTCCGAAATTCGTAAACGTTTTCTCTCTTTGTTTATTATTATCTCTTTCTTATTTGATCGATGCCGTGTAGTATAATTATCGAGTCGTAATGTATTATTCGCGTTTCTAATGAAAAATTTTATTCGCTTCAAGCAGACGAAATGGTTCTCGCTCGAAAAAAGGAAGGGTTTATCATGTATTTAATATTTCTAATAATACAATAAAAATCGCAAGAATGTTCTGTTCTCTTATTCTGGTTCTTCTCTGTTTTTTTTTGTTTGCGTTTTTTTTTGCTAAAGAAAACTAAACGAGACGCAGGACGTTTGCTGAGCTGAAGTTGGTCTAACTACGTAATAAATACCGTGTTATCCTTACAGCTTTTAGCTATTATACATTATGTCAAAAAGAAATATTAGAGGCGATTGCGAGAACGATAGAAACAATGAGAGAGAGAGAGAGAGAGAGTGAGAAATTATGTTGTGTATATGGTATGTATGTATGATAGAAGTTAATACGAAGAAAGTATAGAGTGAAGAAATTAACGTTGTGAATATGAGAAGAGAGGATATAGGACTAGAAACACATTTTTTTAAATCCTGCATATTAAACCTTTACATGTATAGTGAGCGAGACACTCGTATTAAACCAAATAACGACTGATTTCAAAAGTAACATGTTAGCGGTAAGAAGACACTTTACAGCGGGACACGCCAATGGTCCAAGTATTTTAGTTTTACGTAGCATTATTAATATTGTCATTCACTCTTTATTATTATTTGTCGCCTCTTCTTTTTCTTCCTTTTACTTTTCATTCTTCGCTTGTATCTGGTTCTCTGTCAATCTTGTTACTGGTTTCTTCTTTTCTTTTCCACCTCGTTCCTCATTCTTTTCTTTACATAACTATTAAAAGCACGTGACTAAAATATTATCAAGCTTTCGAGAGATACTCTGTGTTTCCTTCGTCGTCAAGAGTCCTTTCACATATGCTCCCCTCGAACGTCCCATCAACTGTTAATATAACTTTCAACAATACCGTTCATATAATATAGTCATTGTGTCTGAAAGTTTAGACCAATAGATTTAAAGTTCGGTGGGACGCGTGCTTCCGTATTAGGATTCTCAAGGGGAATTTACGTAGCAGATGATTCTCGATGATTTTTTTCTGCTTTAATAGATGCGCCACCGGGTATGGCGCCAATGACGTTTATTAATTGATAATAACGTAGTTCGATAATAGGTAAATTATTAAAATGATATCAAACGCGTTGTGTTGCCTAGATTTGATAATACTGAAATATAAACGACTTTGCGTTCCCTTGAAAATCCAAGATAATCTTCAGGGAGTTCCGAGGATTTGGAAAATGTTCTCTGGGACTTGTGCCGGGTGGAGCTTTTATATTGGATTTATTATAATGAAGACGAAAAGCAAAAAAAGATTGTGCTTGTGTGTTCGTATAACCGTTTTTTTTTTCTCCATATTTTTCTCTTATCTGAAAAAAAAGTTTTATCTTATATTTTCTAACGAGCTTGCGGCACGCGAATGAGATTATACAATTTAATGCGATGCTGCAATAGATGCTGCAGGGCCTTCGTTATACTGATTCTTATTGACGGCCCCTAATTTACACGATGCGTCGCATCGTCGCGAGATTTTTGCTGAAGCACAAGACAATAGGCGTTCGAATGATGGAACTTCCGAATTGTACCGAAACTGCCCGAAGAGTACCGAAGCTTTGTAGAGTGTATGAAAATAAAAATTGAACACAAATTTTTCGCTAACTTGGCAGAACGAATATTGATTGAGGGAATATTTATTGTACGAGGAAGATTGATGGAGATTACGAAGATGAATGTTGATAAAACGTATTAATTTTTTTATATGCGAATAATTTATGATATCAAAAGTATATAAAATAACTGCAACGGATTGTCAGGAGAATTAGAATTGATAACTGATAATTAACAGCCGCCGTTACATGGTATGCAATATATGGTAAACCTCCTAATCAATTTCAGCGATTTTTGTCTTGCATTAAAAGAATATTCCCTGCTATTATTGATTGACGTGCACGGATACACACTGTGGGTATATATATTATGTCTTATGGAGGTGACACGTTGTTGCTTTATGAATGAAATAAATAATTTAAAAACTAATTGCTGTTAGAACTTAATGATACCTCTGCACAATCACGTAATAAGGGTTCATTGCGATAATCACTGACAGGGGATGCAGAATTCATTTCAGAAATAAATTCCGTCTGTCCTTCGTTCTTCCGTTTTTTCAATTAAATTTTGAATCGCATGTCTTCAAGCATTATGAGCCGCGAGTGAGGTAAGCAGACATTGCTAACTATTAGTACATTAATATTGAATTTTGGAACGTACTCTGTCCTGTAAATAGGACAAAAGAAGCACAATGCGTCATATTCTCGCAATCCGTATGAAAAAAAGTGATCCATCGTATTTTAATATATTTCTGTAAAACACTTATTTACAAATTTTACATTTTATATAGGTACTACAATAATATGACAATAGTACGATTTCTTTACTTTATATATTTATTTATACAATAATCGTTATAATATATACTCATTTATTTATATATATCTGTATATACGTATTGAAATGATATCTTATAGAAACATTGTTTGACACGATTTTGGCGGGTACATTGGCTAGGATAAGGTAATTAATGCCTTAATGACTCGCACGATAAATTGCAACTATCCATTCGCGCACTTACATCACCCGACAATCGAATTAAAATTAACACCAAGCCTCATCGCGGTTCTTATTTTCAAGTTCGTTAAACGTGTAACCCTCCCTCTTGAACTTCCCGCAACTCGTATGCCCTACTACATATACACTGGAATCCGTAGACAGTAGCCAGTAAGTAGCCTCGAGTGCGCAACTGTTTCACTAACTCCGTGTAACATGTTGCAAAAATCTTTTGTCGCCGATCATCAGTCACATTTGTCATACCCTTGAGCAGTACTCTTTCTCAGCTTTAACTTTTTGACAGATCGTACAGAGTGTGATAAGACATCATATTGCACAGGCCTATTTCCACGCTATCTCTTTCTACGCGAACTCCACCCACTACCGCTGTACGCATTCCAATATGCTTCTATTATAAGTGGTGCGCTCTCAGATCTGTCACATACAAATATTCATATATTTACAGGTAGTGAAGAGTATCTGCGCAACACGTGAAGATCTTATTCAGAAAAATACACACGAGCTCGTTAAAGGGAATCCATTAGGATGGATGCGCGTGACGCGAAGTAACAAATATTAAAAAAAAGAAAAGGTTGAAAGAGAGATGACACCGATTTTAAAAAAAGCAACTCAAATTTACGCACGACATGCGCGGAATCGTATGCTTCGCTACCTGTATATTGGCTGTAAGCCTATTCGCATTAAATGTATCTATTATCTTAGACAAACTACAACTTGACAATAACTAACACAAGAAGTCTTACAAAGAATAGCTCAATCGCCTAATCGTAATAGAATAATATTAATGATAATTAAAACTCTTAAATTCAAGACATTACATTTTTTTCTTCTATACACATACTCGTACACCGACGGCATTCCTTTTTCTTTATGTTTCTCTTCATCACGCCCTTGCTATCCTTAATTTCTCTTTACAATAAGTAATTCGAAAATAATCCTTATCGGACACGTGTCAATTGTAACCCTTCACAGACGACGCACAGTCACACTTAGTGTCATTGAGCTGCTCTTATTTAACATCTAGTTGCTTCTCTTGTATCCTATTGTATTTAATTAGTTTATGACAATCAACTAAAACTGCATTTTTTCCATTAAGTAGAATGACTTCTTGGGACGTTCGCCGTCTCCTAACTCGAAAGTAATGCAGTAGGCAGCCTCCAAGGATAATCGAGGACGTGCCACGCACCCGCCTCTCACTTTGTCGTATATGACAAACATAAAAGGAGAAATCTAATTTTTAATTCCTCTTTTTAAATTACAATTATCCTATAAATCATTTGCGCGTAGAATGCGTGTGTTCCTTCAATTTTGTATTTGTTAAAAGGACCTCTGCCGCTCCTCGCTCCCTTTTTCCTGGTACAAGAGGAGGGTGGTTCTCTTTCCTATATTAATATTGTGATACTCGCACGCGATTACACCTTTGGCAAACATTGCTCTTCAAATACTGCTGCGGCGAACGAATTTCCAAAGTATATGCACGCGAAGCACAAAGTAACTTACACCGACATTCCGTTCGCGTGTATCCGACCTTTATCGATTATCTTATAAGATTAACTCTTGGAATTACTAACATGAATCTATGTACAATTGGCACCGTGGAGCGCGTTTACTTTATAATTGAAAATGTTTAGCATCCTTTCAGTTACGTTAAACGTGAGTAAATAAAGTAAGTATGATAATTATTATAATGATAATGATAACGATAATAGTGATAATAATATTTATTATCATCCCCGTCTACTGGTCCGACGTTGTGACGACTTAACAAGATAGAGGAAAAAAAATGAATTTCGATACAAACGACAGAGATGAGGGAGAATTAAAAGAAATAGAAGAAAATAATGATACAAGCGCAACGTCTCCACAAGAGGTTTCTCCTTTTATGCCCGAAAGAGCGAGAGAGAGAGAAGGTGAATCATTGTGCGAACTGGTAGCACAGAGTACGAAATTACAAGTGGCGCGTAAGTATTATAATAAATTTTTGTTCCTTCACTTTTCTCATATATACATATATGTATATATATAAACACAGGCGTTGTGTGATATATATACACATATGTTCAATATATGTATGTATATAAACAAAGAAAAACACAGTACAAAAAATAAACATAATCACAGCTGAGTTGGCAGGCAGGCGGGCGGGCGGGTTGGGCATTCGGGCAGGCGTCTCGTGATGAACAATTCGAGCCTAATCACGAGTAATCTTTTTTTTTATTTTTCTTCATTTTGATGTCATTTTGATTCTCGTCCGATATTCTTATCAAGCGTTCTCAGCCTGCTGAGCCCCGTCAGAAACCAATTATTGGAGTCTTAAACGTAATCATTGGTACCAGGACTCGTCAGTGGTTCCTGGGCCTGAAACGAGGAAACGATCATCCCTTAAAGTCATGACAGATCCATGGGTCGTAAACACAGTGAGTACAGTAAGTGAATATAAAGAATCAAGTGAGAATGAAATCACGGTTATTCATTGAAACTCACCTCCTCCCCAACGGTTGCGGCGGGTAACGGAAACCTGTTCTTCTCCAAACTGAATTGGTCCTCTGTGGTCTTCCTGTAGACAGGATTGTCGAAGTTCATGCTCGTCACGTTACGGTGCAGATAATGCCTGTAGCATAACACTGCCACGAATCCCAATAAGATAACACCGACGGTGACGACGCCGATGACAATGACTGCGACTAATCCTGGATCCGCAGCTTCATCAAGGACGTTCTTTACATTTTCATCTGTCGCATTGGTTGGACCTAAATGGAAATTATGTGTTCAGATAGTGCTCAATGTACTTAAATAATGTACTGTCAAAGCATGTTTCAGTCGGTACCGACTGTGGTACTCGGAAGTAGATTGTCTCAGTATGCGGAACAACCAATGACTTGTAAACAGTAAAGTTATGTTTTGCTATCGTTGGTGGATAAGAATATCGTATATTGCATAGTAATACTATATGGATAACCGAATAGCATGTGTAGGATAATATGAAAGTATGTAGGTAAATTAAAAAGAAAACATGCGCCATGCACATTCCAGACCCGACATAATATTATAGTCTCTGTATTACGTTATTCTTTGGAGATTAAGAAAATGACTGCGTCGTGCTCGTATTTTTCATGGGCTCCTCGTAGTTGACTTGTGTTACTCGGTTTTTAGAGTTTTCTGGCATTTTTTTTAGAGAACTCACATTGACGTGGGTGATGGACTTACTTGTCGCTTCGGAAACGTTTAGAGGATCAAGAAGCCTCTTGAACGGCTCGGTGACTTCCTGCGTCGTCGGCGCAGCTGTTGTCGTCACTGGAATATCCCGTTTATCATGCAACATCGATGCAAACGAAAAATAAATAATACGACCTCGTGGAAACGTAACAGGATTCGATAAGAAAGAGGACAATACCATTATCGATTAATACCAAACAGCTATTGTAACTTTGAAGCTACGTGTATTAAAGGAAAAAAAAAAAAAGAAAAGTAATTCCTCAATGCATAACAGTGACCAATTTTGCTAAATTCCAAGTTCGCATCTCATGCACCAACGTGTCACTTGAAATTAATTTTGTCGACCAGCGGCAGCAAGTAATTTACATACTAATAGCCCACGAGTGCGAAAATTAATTATATTTATTACAGGCCACGTATCATACTAATGTATTTGTCAATAATTTAATTTCTGCAATTAACAAGCATCATCGCTCAAGATGACACATTTTTAAAAGCGCATTACAGCATGAGATAAATACCGTCAAGCAACTGTCAGTAGTGACATACCCCCACTATATTTATGTCTAAGTGATAACTTTTGATTTGTATGTTAAATGAATTATATAGAAGTAGGCCGTATCGAGCATTACAAGTGTAACGTGGACAATACACGTGAGATATAAATTAAGATATACCAATTATACAAGATGCACACGAGAAGAAAATTCATTCAAATAACTGCACTTACCGTTCTCGACGCACATTAGCCCATCCGAAAGTAGCCTCAAGCCATCCGGACACGCGCAGCTGAGACGCGGTGACTTCAAATTTATCTTAGGCGCCGGTAAACACAAATGACTGCAATGGCCATTTACAGCCAAGCAATGATTCTTTCCATCAGGCTGTCTATAAGGATGATAAACATGGACCACCATTGGATGCTGAACAGCGTTCAAGGAAGTAACAGCCTCGACTTCCTTTCCAGTGAACTTATTGGCTTTGAAAATGGTCTCCTTGTCCCAATCGGTCCAGTAAACGTAATCTTCAAAAGTCGTGATGCTGAATGGATGCCTCAATGTATCCATGGAGTAAAGTATAGTACGTCGCCCTGAACCGTCATAATTACAAGACGCAATGATATTTAACTTTCCGTCGACCCAATATACTTTCTTTCCTATCAGATCCAATGTTAAGCCATTTGGCCATTTCACTTCGGTTCCCACGATTACCTGAAAACCAAAGAAATCAGTATGAAGCTTGATCCGTAACAAAATGTCAATGCAAACGTATATATATCATATATCTACTGTTTGATATTGCATAAGGCAACCGTAACCATACCGTAAACCATCTTAAGATACGAATATGATATATAAAGTCCTTATCGGATACATACCGAACGATGTGTACCATCCATGCCGGCTCTTTCAATACGAGCATCATTTCCCCAATCGGTCCAGAACATCCATCCCTCAAGAGGATTCAAAGCAATGGCCCTGGGTTCCTGAATGCGATCTCTTATAAGAGTCTTCCGCATATTGCCCTCGAAGTTCGCAAGCTCAATAGTATTCTTCTCTGTATCGGTCCAGTAAATATGATTGTATATCCAATCGACGGCAAGACCGTCGGCAGTCGTAAGATCCTTATCAATAACGACGGTACGCTCGTTGCCTTCGTCTATAGGAGCTCTGACGAACAATACGATATCAATAAATAAAAATAAAACGAACGTATGAATTTATCGTAAAACTATATCCCTGACCAAAAACTCACTTGTAGATCTTCTTCTCGCTGACGTCACTCCAGAAGATCATACCAGTACGAAAGACAAAGTCCAGTGCTGTCGCGGTTTTGGTATTGTTCACAATGGCCGTCATTTCCTGACGATCCAGGGCGACTTTCCTTATGTCACGACGACGCGCAAACAGTAAGCTAGCATGACCTTCGGCAGCCTTGCATCGTGTAACATTGCGTTGATCTCTTTGATAACCATTGGCGCAACTGCACTTAAAGCCACCCTTTTCATTGAAACAATACTGCGAGCAACTGCCGGGCTCCATGCACTCGTCAATGTCTGTACAAGAAAACGAACCATCATGACGAACAGTATAGATACCATTGTAACAGAGACAATAGCTATCGCATCCATATTTCATTTTCATATAGCAGGTGCATCACTTACCGTCGCAGGTGCGATTATCAATCAACCTAAATCCCGGTCTGCAGTCACATCTGAATCCTATGGGTAAATCAACGCAGATTTGCGAGCATCCGCCATTGTTGTGCAGACACTCGTTGACCCCGCAAAGTTCATGATTTTCATCCTCCCAGCCAAGACAATCCGGTTCCTTGTTGCAGACGCTGCTGAGTGGTATGCAGGAGCCAACGCTACACTCGAACTGTGTCGTGGGGTCACAGGTCACACTTTTTGTCGTGCAATTTTGCTCGTCGCTGCCGTCTCGACAATCATTTTTCCCATTGCAATAGAGATGACCTATAAAATTTTAAAGGGTCATTAAGAAAAGGCCATTCTCATTTTCATAATCGTAAGATTCTACAAGTATCGGACTTTTCGTTACCTAATATGCAGCTCGAGTCGCCACATTGAAACTGGTCCGCTCTGCAAGTAACATTGTGACAGCGTTCCGGCGACTCGTCGGAGCCGTCGGAACAATCCTTATCGCCGTCGCATAGCCAGCTGTGGTGTATACATGTTATACGGTCACCGCAGACGAACTCCCGGTCACCGCAATGACTCGGAGTTTCACCAGTTGGATAGCTCTTGCAACCGATCTCGTCGGAATGATCTGGACAGTCAAAGTCGCCGTCGCAACGCCATCGACTCGAGATGCAGGAGCTTTGGGAACAGGCAAATTCCAGACCAGGTCGACACGTGGTGGCACTGCAGTTCGTTTCGTCAGTTCCGTCGCCACAATCATCGTCGCCGTCGCAAACCCATCGCTTTTGAATGCAGTTCTTGTTGCCACAGGTGAACTCGTCTTGGCGACAAGTTTCGTCTACGTTCAATGTAAAATCATTTATTAGATACAATCCGGATTTTAAAAAAATTTCATCTTTCTCACTTTATTTTATTATCTTGTTTTCCCTTATCAGTACGCCATTTCATTCGGGATCTCTCGACAGGCTACAAAACGGTTTATAAGCAAGCAACGTCGATTTTCATGGAGAAGCGAGCGTCATTAATGAAAGTGTAACTTTAGCCACAACACCCGTGGGATTACTAAATCTAAATCCGTTCGAGTCACTTTACTTTTTTTGGCATCCGCGCGAAAGAAGATTTAACGACTGTCTGAAGTCTCTTGGGCCACGACCTTTTGCTAAATTTCGTTGACGACTGAAAACTTGGTTGAGCATTGCAAAATTTTAAAAGCACCGGCGTTGCAAGAGCGACGCGAAATTTAGGCAACGTCAGACACGTTAACGACCATATAGAAATCAAATCTCGTGTCGTTAGACGAAACGGATTTATCGTGCCAATTAGAACAGAGTACACGAAGAAATTACTCAGACTAATCTTCTACCAAGATGTCTGGGGAATTACGTGAAATTAATTAACATTTTCAGTGAAAGGTCTCAGGCGATTAGAGCATTGATTAATTGCTGTATAACAAGTCTCAAATATTTTCACCACAATAGAACGCTAATACTATTTCGAAAATCTTTCGTAATTAATCTTCTCTGTAGTCAATGATAACAATGAAAATCGTAAGAATTTTGTAATAGAAGATCTCCATGTTAATACATATGCAATACGTATCGATACTAATGAAGCATAACCTTCGCGTCGGTACAATTGAGTGAACCGTGAGAAAATTATCCATTTCATGTTAATTGTCGAGCACGCATACCAAAGGTGCATTTGATAATACAAAATAGTACCTACGTAATACAAATTAAATCAGTATGATTAAAGGAACAGTTGGTAGAGGATCGAGTAATTACTTTACGCCAAAGCCATTGCGTCTGGCTAATGCTGACTCGCTGCAGTTTCAGCTCCCGTCGACGGTTTGTCGACGAAATTCCGTCATCCCGCTGGGAAATGGCATCAATGTGAGCATTCGCGTATGGGTTAGATACATAACCTTTAAAGTGTACGAGGTAAAGGATCGTTAACAGGGAAATTTAATATATCCGGCGCAACGAGAGAGATCCTACGAGTGTTCCGCTTTACGTCGTAAATGCATAGCTATATATACGTACCATATTGAATATTCACAAACGTAAAATAAAAATCGGTAGGTGGTTACTGGGCAAGTACTATTGCCGAATGATTCCCGAGACGTAAACTGTCAGACCTTTCAGACACAGGAATGTTTCGTAGCTTAGGTAGGCGCGGGTTATTGTCATGCGGAACGGATAGTACACTGGAGACGGTCGAAGTGGCGCGCGATCGCAGTTACATTTAAAAAGTTCAAAAGACATGTATTTCGGTGGAAAAATAAATAACGGCCAGCCCTCCAAGGGAATGCCAAATCAAAGGAAACGAAGTGGAGTGAATATACTATGTATACATAATGTAGTACATACCTATAGAAGGGAACGAAAAGAGGGGAGTAACACTTTCATTTGACGCGAACACGGCCCGAATTTATATATTATTAAACAATTCAGCCTGTCGACCTTTATGAAGGAAATGGCATACTTACCAGTGAGAAATACTAATAAATCATACTGACAAATTTTACTTGCACGTCTTGCGACTTTTAGTCTGTATTATTTATCTATACCAGGGAATTCAGTTGAGAATCATAGAAAGTCGATAACTATGTAAAACAGCTAAGCGGCATAGGGAGCGTGTCCAGGATAAATATTCACCACGTAAATGCCATTCGGGCTTGCAGACATATTTTCAATCTTCTCGCCAGTTTACCGGGTCATGAGACACGACCTGTTCTTTGAGTGCATTGCTACAGCACCCGCGCGCTTACGGCATCTCTTTCACGGGACATTTAAAGGAATTTGTATTTTCAAACAATTAATATAAAAACGTATGCATAACGATCGTGGCGCCATCGTAAGTCAGAAACGCGTACCTCGCTTTGTGAGTACTGAAAGTCGTAATTGTAAAGGCGTCTTCATTATCGCCTGAGGACAGACTGAAGTGGCGTCTGAAGTAAAACCGAAATTGAAACTGGCACATATCCCTTCGGGAATAATGCCATAAAGAAAGGAAGATGGAATTGAGACGGAACAGCCACATCGAGTTTTTTTCTCCTAAAGTCACAAACAGTAAGAATATGACAGTGTCTGTAGAATGCAAAGGGGATTGTTTGACAGAAGTGCAGGAATGGCGGAATCGAGAAGTGTTTCGACGTTCAGGCATCTGTGGTAAAGGACGTCGTTAAAGAAAAAAAAAAATAGTCTTAGGAAGCTTCGTGGTAGTATATTCTTTGAAATATTTCAGGAAGCCAAGTCAAAGAAGAGAAACTACAAGGAATACGATAACTATAAGAGTACGAAAAATACACGTAATACGATTTTCTTCCTTGCGGGTATCACATGTATTGAAAGGTATGTACAAAACCTTTTTGAGACTTGTCCAGGTACAGTCAAGTGCAATTTACCATGGTATAGAGGCTGTTTGTATCGTCATTATATAAAACATCGCTATGGCTGGAACGTACTGTACAAACAAAATCGTAAATATGAAAATGACTCTACGAGTACAGTAGGACCCAGTAAGAACAGTAGGTGTATCTGAAGATATTATATAGTGTACCTAACGATTTCTGAGTATTTACACACGTTGTAATTGCGTTTACTGTGCATATTCGTACATATGAGCAAACATGAAATATGCTTGACTGGATACAATCTGACTTCGCCGCATATTCTAAAACTCACGGGTATGATTGCGTAAGTAAACAAACCCTCGACGAAACTCGCAACACTAGCACTGAATTTTGGAATACATTCTATGTTACTCGATCACGATTTGAACTCAATTGGACATTTTATGATCTCGTGGATCTGTACGTATTTGACTTTCGTGAAATATTACGTCATAGAATATAACCATGGAGAACATACGCAGGCAAACATGGTGGAGAATATGAGGTTGTCGTAGAGACGTAAGGTATGAAGGATGACGCAAGAAATGCATTAACTATGGACATGTTTTCCATCGTGTTCTGGAAGATTGGATTGCTGGGGGGCAGAATTGTACGGTCCGAAACATGGAGTGCTGTTTTTATTTCTTTTTTTATCACGAACGAAAATGATAATACGCAACACGACGTATTTGATCACAGGCTGTTTGTCTTTTTCTTTTTAATTTAGTTCCAGGGAGTCTTTGGGAATTCATTAAAACACGTAATTACAAGATGGCCTTTGGTATCGACGATACGTGTTATCGCGTAAACATTTGTCCTGGACACGCGAACATATCGTTTTCGCAAAACATAACAGAATACAAAATAAATATCATGGATCACGGATAAGATACGAAGAGACAGTGGTGACCCTCAATTCCCATTTAATTCGAGAGATACAAGAAAGAAGATATATACTTTATTAACGATGGAACAAAATGTTGGAGAAAAAAAGTACAGACGTGCAGATAAATTTAAGGACAATGAGAACAGATAATAATATTACATAAAAGAAGTCGACTATAAAAAATTCTCCAACTTCACGAATAAACAAAGAGTAACTATTAGGTATCGGAGCTTTAAACAAATTCTATTAAAGGACGTAAAAGTTACGAGAATCAATGACTTAATTGAAATTCATCGATCAAGGAATTCCCTGAGAAGGCCATTGCAGCATTTTGCCGATACGTAACCGTTACTCTGTGTTTGCTGCGAGGTACAATAAGCGGCTGAGAGGAGCAAGTTAAGAAAAAAAAAAAAAAAAAAAAAAAAA